CTCCCACGCGGCGACGGAGCTAGCCTAAAAGGCGCGGCTCCGAAACCGCGCACGACACGGCGAAAAAGGGCGACTCTCCAGAGACTCCGAACAGACGGACGGACAGCAAAGTTGGGGTAAGGTCTCCGTCCCGACGACGGAACGACTAAACGTCGTCCGTCTAACGTCGGGACTACGACGACCGGACGGACAAGCATCGAACTCGGCACTAGACGCGGGCTGCTTCGCCCGCGAGGGGGCCGTAGTCCCCCGCTGAATTCCCCGCTGCACGGTGCTGAATTCCGTGCTGCCCGGTGCTGTCGTAAGCGCATACGGCATAGCATAGCATAGCATAGCGCGTACGGCATAGCACATCATAGCATAGCTCGTACGGCATACCATAGCAAATGGCGTACGGCATAGCGTAGCACGTACGGCATAGCATAGCATAGCATAGCATAGCGCGTACGGCATAGCGTAGCACGTACGGCATAGCGTGTACGGCGCGTACGGCGCGTACGGCGCGTACGGCGCGTACGGCGCGGTCAGGCTACACACGGTCATGTTGTAAGTTTCAATGCGGAGAGTTCCACGTGCAAAGTAGAACACGCGTACGGCATAGCGCGTATGGCGTATGGCGCGTACGGCATAGCATGTACGGTGTACGGCGTATGGCGTGTACGGCGTATGGCGTGTACGGCACAGCGCGTACGGCGCGTATGGCGCGTATGGCTTACCGTGTACGGTATAGCATAGCTTGTACAGCATAGCATAGCGTGTACGGCATAGCATAGCGTGTACGGCACAGCATAGCATAGCGTGTACGGCATAGCATAGCGCCTACGGCATAGCATAGCACAACAAAGCGTAGCGCAGCATAGCATAGCGTAGTGTAGCATAGCATAGCATAGCGCGTACGGCATAGCATAGCGCGTACAGCACAGCATAGCATAGCGTGTACGGCATAGAAGAGCGCCTACGGCATAGCATAGCATAACATAGCGTAGTGCAGCATAGCATAGCATAGCGTAGCGTAGCATAGCATAGCATAGCGCAGCATAGCATAGCATAGCGCGTACAGTGCACGCGTCAGCATCCATAATGTGCAGGATATACAACGCAACGCATGTGCAGGATATACAACGACAGTGCGCGCGTACGGTACGCGCGGTGCAGTATGGTGCCGTACGGTGCGGTGCGGCGCAGTGTGGTGCGGTGCAGTGCGGTGTAGTGCAGTCATGGTCCCGAACGAAAAAAATGTGCAGGCGCCGGGATCAAGCCGGGGACTGGGGCTCCCGCTTGGTGTTGGAGCTAACGTACACAATGAAGCGGTACACTCCGGAGCATCGGAGCATGTTGCGTGACCCCAGCTGCAGTGCAGTGCGGTACGGTGCGGTGCGCGCTCCCGAACAAAAAAAAAGGAAAAAACGTGCGGGCGCCGGAATCAAGCCGACAACCGCGGCTCCCACACGGTGACGGAGCTAGCACGATGACATAGCATGACAAAGCACGACGAGCCCAGACATGATGCGTATGGTGCGGTGCACGGTCCCAAACAAAAATACAAAAACGCGGTACACGACCCAGCAAACGCGACCGACCATGCAAACCGTCCCGCGGGTCAGGTTGTGTTGCACATCGCACTTCGGTGCGCGTTGTGTTTCTATTCCTTGCTATTCTTGCTATAGCATAGTTTCTACTCACTGCTATTCGTCGTTTCTATTCGTTGCAACGTGGACCGACCTTGTATCGTGTAGGATGTGCAGACGAGGATGGCGATGAATAGCCATCGCTGGCGATGAACAACCGTTGATGTGCCGAGTTGTTGTCGTCTGGCGAAAATCGGTTAGCGAGCCGATGCACGTAAAGAGGCCAGCTTCACGAAATACCGCACAGCTTATGTTGGCGGCACGACTAGTTTACAACCGCCAGCTTTAAAGCAACCGCTCAGCCAAGGTACCGTATATGAAAATAAGTAAACCGGATGCGTATATATGCGGTGCAATTATATTGTAGCGAGCCAACATCCGCGAACAAAACAGTTTCACAAAATGCCGTACAGCCTACACGGACAACGTTGGACAAGCACTGCACACTTCAGTGCGCGTCAAATTGCGTGGTTCAGTGCACGTTAAATTGCACGTTGAATTGCACATCTAATTGCATGTCGAGTTGTGTGATGGGTTGCGCGTTAAATCGCGCGAGTCAGCGCATGTCAAATTGCGCAGTGCTGTGCGGCCAATGTTTATCGATTTGCGCGTTCAATCGTGGTGCGGTGCGGTGCGCTGCAGTGCGGTGCGGCGCGGTGCGCGGTCCCAAATGAAAAAAACGTTGAAATATGCGCCGGGATCGAGCCTGCGACCACGGCTACCATTCGATGTTGGACTAGACCACAAGCAGTGCACCCTGATGCTCCGGGGCGCATTGTGCAGGTCCAGCTGTAATGCGGTGCGATGCACTGCCCGCGCAGTGCGGCACGGTGCGGTGCAACACGGTGCGGTGCGGCGCGGCGCAGACACCAAAGCGGTGTACGGCGATGTTCGGGGGCGCATTGCGCGGGCCCAGGCGTGGAGCGGTGCAGTCCGGGACGACGCGGTGCGGTGCACGGTCCAGAACGAAAAGAAAAGAACAATAAACGATGACGATGCGGAAAACGAACCACGCGACGAAGAAGGCAGCACTCCCGAACGAAAAATA